GGGAGGCCGACCCGGGGAGGCCGCCCGGGGACCGGCCGTGGAGAGACCGCACAGGCTCCCGCAGTCTCGGGGGCGGAGGGCCCGCCCCCGAAACAGAGGAGGGAGAGTCCCAGGCGGGAGCGCCGATCCTGGATTACCGCAGATACGCTGCACACGTGTCCCTGGGCGGCTGGGCGGTGTCCTCGGAACAATTGTCCGTGGCCGGGGCCATGTCCCGGGGGGTCCCCCCCCCAGACCCCCCCAAGGGGACACACAACGGGAACCCCTCCGCCAGGTCGGGGAAAAATACTGTGTCCGCCGGGGGGGATCAAGAAGAATTATTCTTCAGTATTGAGAGTTCACAGGGCTCAGTTGTGAGGGAGGTCCCAGGCGGGAGCGCCGCTCCCGGAGTAATGTGCGAGGAAGTCTCAGGCGGGAGCGCCTCCGCCTGAGTAAACTGCGAGGAAACCCCAGGCGGGGGCGGGGGTCCTGAGTAAATGTGGAGGAAGTATCAGGCGGGAGCCGTTGTTGTGGTAGTCCGGGGGGCCAACAACACAGTTTGATGCTCAGTTGTGAAAGAAGTCCCAAGCGGGAGCGCCGCTCCCGGAGTAATTTGCGAGGAAGTCTCAAGCGGGAGCGCCTCCGCCTGAGTAAACTGCGAGGAAGTCCAAGGCGGGGGCGGGGGTCCGGAGTAATTTGCGAGGAAGTCTGAGGCGGGAGCGCCTCCGCCTGAGTAAACTGCGAGGAAGTCCCAGGCGGGGGCGGGGGTCCTGAGTAAATTTGGAGGAAGTATCAGGCGGGAGCCGTTGTTGTTGTGGTAGTCCGGGGGGCCAACAACGCAGTTTGATGCCCGCGACTTTCCCTGATAAAAAACAAGGCGCGAGCCCCGGAAGGGGCACTTCAATTGAAAAAATACAATGTCCGCCGGAGGGGGGATCAACAATAATTATTCTTTAGTAATTAGAATTCAACAACAACAACAACAACAACAACAACAACAACAACAACAACAACAACAACAACAACAACACAACCACCACCAACAACAGCAACAACAACAACAACAACAACAGCAACAACATCAACAGCAGCAACAACAACAGGATTAGCAATAGCAACAAAAACAGCAGCAACAACAACAGCAACGACAACAACGACAACAACAACAGCAACAACAACAACAAACACTTTAAAAACTGTTCGCCCTTATCTGCTTCAGTGTCCTGTAGCGCGTATTTCCCCAACCATCGATACCCGCACCCTTCGTCTTCGATCGAACCCTTTTTGGGGGGTGTACCCTTCTTCCCTGCGAGCCGGGCCCCGGCAAGCGGCGGGGCGGCCGCGGACCGTCGGCCCGACCCCAAGAGGGACGGACAGGGGACCGACCACGACGACGACGACGACGTCGACGACGGCGACGACGAGCGAAAGCGCGAACGAGAGAGAACGACAGCAGGGCCACGAAGGATACGAAGTAGGCCACGAAGGGCGACAGCGGGGACACGAAGGGAATGCGTATGGGTATAGATCACCGGGGGCCTTGGCTACCCTAGGCCCTTCTACCGACCCTAGGCTTCCCAAGGGTAGGCCCTACTGAAGGCCCTAGGCTTCCCAAGGGTAGGCCCTACTGAAGGCACTGGGCTTCCCAAGGGTAGGCTCTACTGAAGGCCCTAGGCTTCCCAAGGGTAGGCCCTACTGGACACCCTAGGGTAGCCCTACGGGTAGGCCCTAGGGGTAGCCAAAGGGTAGCCCTCGGGGTAGGCCCTAAGGTAGCCTTTAGGGGTAGGCCCTAGGGGTAGCCCTAGGGATAGCCCTAAGAGTAGGCCCTAGGGGTAGCCCTAGGGGTAGCCCTAGGGGTAGGCCCTAGGGGTAGCCCTAGGGTAGCCCTAGGGGTAGGCCCTAGGGGTAGCCCTAGGGTAACCCAAGGGGTAGGCCCTAGGGGTAGCCCTAGGGTAGCCCTAGGGGTAGGCCCTAGGGGTAGCCCTCTTATTGCGGATTACAAACTTATTCCTTTGGTAAGGCGGGCGGGTGGGACATTTAAATGCATTGATTGCTTTGGTGGCGGATTAGATGTTGATTCCCTTTGGTAACGGATTAAAAAGTTAATGCCTTTAGTCGGGCGGGCGGGCGGGACGTTAAAGGCATTGATTGCTTGTGTGGTGGATTACCTATTGCTTCCGGTTGGTAACGGATTACGAGTCTAGTCCTTTTGTGGTGGATTATCAACTGATTATTTTTGTCGGGCGGGCGGGCGGGACATTAAAGGCAGTCATTGCTTGTGGCGGATGGCAAACTGATTCTTATTGTGGCAGATTACACATTGATTCCTTTTGTCGGGCGGGCGGGCGGGACATTATCGGCAATGATTGCTTGTGTGGTGAATTACAAATGGATTCCCTTTGGCAGCGGATTACAAACATATTCCTTTGGCCGGGCTGGCGGGCGGGACATTAAATGCATTGATTGCTTTGGCGGCGGATTACAAAGTGATTACATTTGGCAGCGGATTTCAGGTTGATTACTACTGTGGCGGATAACAAGCTGATTCCTTTTGTCGGGCGGGCGGGCGGGACATTAAAGGCATTGCGTGCTTGTGTGGCGGATTACACATTGGTGCCCGTTATGGCGGAGTGGAAGTGGAAGAAGAGGAGGAGGAGAAGGAGGAGGACGACGACGACGACGACTGTCTGGGCCTGGAGCGTGCCCAGCCGGGCGCGCCTCCTCGAAGACCGAGGACCGACGAAGACCTGCTCGGCCCTCGGTCTTCGAGGAGGTCTGGGCTTGGGCCCCGGCAAAGGCGGCCTTCGGGGTAGGCTCCAGGGGTAGCCCTAGGGGTAAGCCCTAGGGATAGCCATAGGGTAGCCCTAGGGGTAGGCCGTAGGGGTAGCCCTAGGGGTAGGCCCTTGGGTTAAGCCTAGGGTAGCCCTAGAGCCTAGGGTAGCCCTAGGGGTAGGTTCTAGGGGTAGGCCCTCGGGTAGCCCTAGGGGTAGGCCCTAGGGGTAGCCCTAGGGTAGCCCTGGGGGTAGGCCCTAGGGGTAGGCCCTAGGGGTAGGCCCTAGGGGTAGGCCCTAGGGTAGGCCCTAGGGGTAGGCCCTAGGGGTACGCCCTAGGGTAACCCTAGGGGTAGGCCCTAGGGGTAGGCCCTAGGGGTAGGCCCTAGGGGTAGGCCCTGGGGGTAGCCCCAGGGAGGCCCTTCCTTGGGTGTTATAGAAGTGCGGATGGGGCCACGAAGAGCGCGAGCGAGCGGGGCCACGAAGGGCAGATAATGCGGGGCCACAGAAGGCAACGATGGGGCCACTGAGGGTAGCAACGGGGCCACGTAGGACAGTGAGGGGGCCACAAACGGCGACAGCGCGGCCACGAAGGGCATGCACATGAGGCCACAACGGGCGCGACCCATGGGTGCCTGGGTGTCGGGAGCGCGGCGCTTGAGCAAATTGGAACAAATTCCAACGCAAGGGCGCTATTCTTCAGTAAATTGCAAGCAAGTCTCTGGCGAGAGCGCGACTCCAGAGCGCCGGGAGAGCGATTCCTTAGTCAATTGTAAGGAAGTCCCAAGCGAGAGCGCGATTCCTGAATAAGATGCGAGGAAGTCTCGGGCGGGAGCGGGGTCCTGGCTAAATCGTGAAGGCGGGAGCCGTTGTTATTGTAACGCGGGGGCCAGGGGCCCAGTTTGAGCATCAAGATATTCCCTGTCAAAAAACCGGGTGCGAGCGTCGAGGGTATGCACTGGCGGGGGGGGGGGGGTGATCAACAACATGTATTCTTCAGAAATGAGAGCTCAGCAACAACATGGCGCGACATTTCTCGCTACTTTCGGCCTCCAGGGGCCCTTGCCGGGCCTCGGGGCCTGTGCATGGAAAGCCGGCCCTGGGGCAGAGGCTCAGACCTCCGAGGGTCGACGCTGCGAACAAAAAAAAAAACACTACGTCGGGGGTCGGGGAGCGGGCTCCCGCGGGCCCGAGACCCCCCGTCGCCTGCACAGAGAGCGGCGGGAGGACGAGCAGCGGCTCGCCGAGAGCAGCGGCTCGCCGAGGGCAGC